ATTAGGAAGAGTAGTGAGACATGGATCATCCACGGCTGACTAATCGAATGTATCGTAGACAGCGTTAGAAGAGCCAAACCCGCCATGTAAACGAAGGAGAATGCCAGAATAGTGAGGTAGAGTCCAAGTATCGTATCCGATATCACAGCAGAGAGAAGTGGAGTAACATAAAGGATAGCGTTGAACGTAGAGATATACGAATTAGCACCAGCGTCATCAACCCCAAGATACTCCTTGAGGAAAATCTGAAGGTTGGGCATCAACCCGTAGAAGGCCAAACGTTCACATAATTCCTGTAGTAAAATGAACAAAACAGCCTTGGTCATAGGATGCTTGTAATAGTAGTACACGTTACCCGAAACATCAGTCCACGAGTACGATTTACCGCTGTTGCTACCAGATACGGACATACTTGAAAAATATGTTAGGATTAACAAGCTTCAAATATAATGATGATGACATGTGCTAGAGTGGAAACCACTCTTTCACTAGCGTCGAGTGTGTGAGCTAATGATATGCCTTTGTTTACTGTCTCCTTCATGTTCGGCCTGAATCGGTTTATCCGATGACGGTTTCTTGGGGAAGAGAGCAACTCTGTAGGCGTGTGAATACAAGTCGTTATGTACACTCGGTCTAGCGGTCTCAATAGAGTGTGCTGTGCAGCGTGGCAGCGCTTCACTTCCTGAGGCCGCTTCCGACGCGAGTAGACCCGGAGCGGCTGACCAGTGATAACCGTTCACTGAACGGTTGCATGTCGCTCACTTGCTAGGGTAACAAATATCCCGTTGGTACATAATCCTATGACATACACCCCTCCGCATATTCTTAGCATATCCCGTCTTCGACTCGTGCACAGTCACCTCTACGAACACCATCTTGCGGCTCAGGAAAGTATGGTGAGCATACTATGCTCTTATGCTCCACTTGATGTAACGTCCAAGCTTCATGGTGTAACTTCTGGTAGTTAGTGAGAGGTTGAAGAATCAGCATCCATGTTTTAAAATCGCGCCTCGAGGTACCAACTCTTGCTGGGGGAGTATATCTATAACTTCGCATCTAATCTGAAGCTACTGTATATCTATGAATCAGCCTCATATTAAGTGGGACCCAGCCAAAACTGGCCAGCACAGCGGATGAGCACGAGGGAACACCGGGATAAGGTGTAAAACGAGCTCAAAATGCACTAGCAGCCTGCTAGTAGCAGGCTTGTGCCTAACGGTTAGGCAATGGTTACCATTGTGAAATGAGCTGAGTACTTCTCAAGTATTCCTTAAGCAACTCCTAAAGTTGCTCTCCAACCCGAGACGCCTTGAATTGAGTATCCTCGTGATACAAGGCCAATGTTCAGGCGATGCGCATGTGTGCATCATAAACATAGGAGACAGCCGCATAATAGCATCAGTATTGGGGACTTGTCCTCTTAAGCATCTGCTGTGTACTGTCAAAAATATTCCGGAGTGCTTTTCAAGAAAACGGTCATCATCACTGAGGATAAGCCACTGTACATAC